CCCTCTTCTGTCGTTGCTTCTGCTTTTCTTCCCTAGCGGGACGGCAATGCCTCGACCGTTCCTGCTTTCTCTGTTTGTGTGTGTGTTGGTTGTATACACTCACCCACTTGTCGCGGGCGTGCTGATGTGTGTTTGTGTTTGTGTGTGTCTGTCTCACCCTCGCCCTTCCTCCTCTTTTCTTTCTCTCCGCCCCTCCGCTAGACTCTGTGCGTGTGTGTGTGTGTGTGTGTGTGTGTGTGTGTGTGTGCTGCGGTGGGAGGAGCGACGATGGCTGGCCGTGCGCTGTTGGTGTGTGCCCTCTGCGCGCTGTGCTGCGCCGCCGGCGGGGGCTGGGCGTGGGACCACCTGTGCGATGAAGATGGAAGGAGGTTGTTGAATAAAACTGCGAAAGAGGTGAGTCCGTACTGCGCTAGTCTTGGGGCCCCTAAGGAAGGTACGAAAAAGACAACGCTGCAAAACGAACAAAGTTCCCCTCCGCAGATGGAGAATGGAGTTGTCGTGGGAGGCCAGGGAGAGGCGGCGGGCCGTACCGACGGTGCGTTGCTGCCGTCGCCGGGCCCTGGCGGCGGTGGAGGTGCCACCGGCCCCGAGGAAAAGGGCCCGCAGGCGCCAACGGCGGGCAGCAGCGGGCATTCGGCGGCGGTTCCAGCAACACCTGGCGCCTCAGAGGCGCAGGGAGACCATTTAACGTCAGTTGACGTCAGTGAAGGAACCAGCGCAGGGGCGGACGGGGAGCTGAAGAAAGTGGCAGGCACCGCAGATCTCAGCCAGCAGCAACGTGAGGGAGAGACGCAGAGTGGCCCGGGGGCAACACAAACAACACCAGGCGCAGCGGCTTCATTGACGGACTCGAAGAACGATCTCTCACAGTCTCAGGCGCAGGAGTACCGTGGTGAGCAGGGTGCCAGCACGCAACTTAGCGGCAGAGAAGCAGCAACTCTACCGGATGTCACAAGTAATGCAGCAGATGGAGAAGGGCGGGAAACAACGCAACTCTCTCCACCGGCAAGCCGCGAAGGTGCGGGCGGCCAGGGTGGAAAACCCACTGAGCAGGAAACCAAAGACGCCACGGATTCCGATGCTGCATGGAATCCAGACGGGCAACGGGAGGTTGCTGCCGCAAGTGCAGCGGCGGGTACTGCAAATGAACCGACGCCAGCAGTAGAGTCCACCGCCACTGATGCAAGGAACAACGCGACTACGACTGGCGGTGACAGCGGCAGCAGCCCCGCAGCGCAGCCGCAGCCGGAGAGTTCCGTGGCGGCAACCGAGGCTGGCCAGCCAGAACAAAAGGAGCAGTCCGCAGTGCCTGCTTCCCAAGAGGAAACAGAAACGAGTGGTGAGAGAGGAGAAGCCACTCAGCCGGCAGCGGGGACGGCTGCTCAAGCGGTGGCCACCACCAACGTGACGAGTGCAGCGAAGGCGGCGCCCGGCGACAGCGACGGCAGCAGCACCGCGGCCTCGCACTCCGCCTCCCTTCTTGCGCTGTTTCTTCTGCTTGCGTGTGCGGCTGCCGCTGCGATGCTGGCCGCGTGAGGAACTGAGTGAGTGAGAGGGGGCCGTGCACACAGCTCGTCCTTCTCTGTTTCTTTGTTTATCTCTGTGTGCCCCAGCACGGACTCTCTCGCCGCACCCCACGAGGCACACACACATAATGTGCTCGTATATATCCACAACTCCACTCATGCAGGCCCGTCGGTCTTCCTTTTTTTTCTTTTGCCCCCGACGAGCCGCTGCCGTCCAGCTTGGCCGCATGGGTACAGCACCGTAACTGTTTTTATCATTTTTTTAGTTTTTTTGTTTTGTTTTCATTGCTTTCAGTGGGCGACCTCTCTCTCTTCCTCTCTTCCTTCCTGGATTGGGCTGTGCGGGAGCAGAGAGTGTGTGTGTGTGTGTGCTGGTCGTCCCACGTGTCGCTGCGCGTCCCCACTGCTCGGTGGATGCGCCCCCACGCTTCGGCTTCACTTTACAGGGTTTGTTTTTAGTTTATTTCTGTTTGTGTTGGTTTGGGTGCACCCATTCAGCGGGAAGCTGAGGTGTGGCGTGCGCCGCCTACTGCGTGTGCCCCGCACCGTGTGGGCTGCTGCTGCCCTCTCTCTCCCTATTGCTGAATGTGGCTGCGTGGGGTCGTGTGCCTGTGCCTATCTTTTTGC